TTTCCCTCTAAGGGAGGTGTGGTGAGGTCATTGCCCCTCGCACAACCCCTGGGTTCAGGCACCGCTGCACTTCCTCAACAAGCTGCAGGGCCAGGCCCAGTTGGGGCCCTGTGTGTGGGTGCTGCCTGGGCCTCTGGCCTCCCACATGCTCCAGTAGGCGGGGCACAGTGGCTTGCATTCCTCTGTCCCCAGGACCTGAAGCCTGGCAACCTGGCAGTGAACGAGGACTGTGAGCTGAAGGTACTTGGAGGGGCGAGTGTTGGGTGGGTGTAGGGGCTTCCTCCCCATCTGCCCATCTGCCTGCCTGCTCTCAGGCCCAGCCAGAGATCAGACCCAGGCACCCAAGCAGGCTTGGGCTCGGGGAGGCATGTGGTGGGGTGGCCTTGAGCCCTCCCCATACTTGCTGCAGGTGAAGTGTGGAGGGAACCTGGCCCAGGGCGGGGCTGGGGAGGTGCCAGGAGAGGAGACCTTCAAGGCACCTGCTCTTGAAATTGGTTGATCTGGGTGCTCTGGCCACAGGAAGGAACCTGGGGTGGCATGGGGTCAGAGACCGTGGCCTGCAGCCCTGGAGCATTGGCAGGAGGCCCAGTTTTTGGAGGGCTTAAGTCTAGCCCCTTGGGGTCTCCTGGAACACAGCTGGTCTGCCTACTCCTCAGGGGTCTCCTAGACCCCACCTCCCTGATTCTTCCTGCAGATCCTTGACTTCGGCCTGGCCAGGCAGGCAGACAGTGAGATGACTGGTTACGTGGTGACCCGGTGGTACCGGGCACCCGAGGTCATCCTGAACTGGATGCGCTACACACAGACAGGTGAGGCACTTCTGAGACCTGGGCCGTTTGGGCTGCACCACCTGCTCCCCACTTCCTGATGGGGAGCCACATGGCGGCTGTTGCCCAGAGTGGCTGCTGAGATGGGTGGGAGCCTGAGGGAGTGCCTTGCCCCCATGGAGCGCTGACTGGTCTTGTCACAGTGGACATCTGGTCTGTGGGCTGCATCATGGCTCAGATGATCACAGGGAAGACGCTGTTCAAGGGCAGTGACCGTATCCTGAGCATGGCAACCCTGGGCGCACGGACCCAGCTCCTGCCAAGGCTGGGCGTGTGGGCACGGGGCACTGGGTGCTGGGTGGGGCCCCTGCCCTCTGGCCCTTTTGCTGTGCTCCTGACCTCAGCACAGACCTGGACCAGCTGAAGGAGATCATGAAGGTGACGGGGACACCTCCTGCTGAGTTTGTGCAGAGACTGCAGAGTGCCGACGTCAGTCGGGGCGGGGGCTGGCCCGGGTGTGGGCTGGTCCTTACCCTCACCCTCTGCCCCACACAGGCCAAGAACTCCATGAAGGGCCTCCCTGAGTTGGAGAAGAAGGATTTCGCCTCCATCCTGACCAGTGCAAGCCCACTGGGTAGGACTGGACTGGGTGGGCCCAGGTACTGCTGTGAGGGGCCTCCCAAGTCCTGCTCTGACGTGCCATCCCCCCAGCGGTCAGCCTCCTGGAGAAGATGCTGGTGCTAGACGCGGAGCAGCGGGTGACAGCGGCCGAGGCACTGGCTCACCCCTACTTTGAGTCCCTGCATGACACGGATGATGCCCCCAAGGCCCAGAAGTACGATGACTCCTTTGACGATGTGGACCGCACCCTGGACGAGTGGAAGTGTGAGTGCCCGAGCACCTGTCCCCAGGGTGCCACCAGGTGGGAAGAAGGCAGGTCAGAGGGCAGCTGGACTGTGCAGCTTGGCCCACTGCAGAGGAGCAAAGGCACTCCTGGCAGAGACTGGTCCCAAAGCTGGCACTGTGGCGGCCTGGACCCCACTGGCAGCTCTGAGCTCCAGGCAGCAGTGTGCTGCTCCTGGCCCCCAGCCTGCCACCCTACATCCAGCCAAGAGACAGGCCACCCTGGAA